TAAGAGAGAGATGAGAGCTGTCTGTGCAGTGAGGTGACAACCAATGTGCTTGGAAATGTGTCAAAAGGACAAACGTCAACAACTGAAAGTTCCAATATTCCTCAAATTCCCACAATTGAACCCTCAAGTGGAAGGGACTATTTCAGTTACTATCCCAGACCAAATTTAGTCATGGTGGGTTAGTTCTTGGGCCATCATTTGGTGCAACAGCCATGAGGATGGAAAATTCAAAATGCTACTCTGCTGAATTTAAGTCTGTGAAAAAGCACTGGCTGTGTTAGATATTCTGTTTCATAAATGTGCAAGGTCACTGTTGTCAGGAAGTTGCTGCAAGTACGTTTACGTTTAATATGCTGGTAAGATTGCTACAGAAGACATTAAGACCTGTGGAAAAGGGAGTAATGTGGATGTATGACCTTGGATTGTGTACCAATGCGGAAGCTGAAAGAAATAGTTCTGTTGTGCAAGAGTAACAGCAACAGTAGTAACACATATTATGATGAGACTTTTATCATGATTTAACCACCAAAAGTTTGAGAGGCATAACCGAAATATCAAGACCATATGGAGGTGACACCTGGACGAGAATATGGAATATAAATTGAATTGGAATACTGTTGGTCAACCAGCAACCAATCATCAAAAAAAAGGCCACAAGCAAGGAGATTGGTGAGACCATAGACCACGTTTCAAATTTCGAGAGGCACGCACAGGTCTGTGGTAACAATCATGTAAATGTGGATGTTAGCAGTAGGGTGCGCAAGAATGCATTGACTAGTGCAAAAGCAATAGACCAAAAGGCCTTGGTTGCTTCAAACAGAGTGATAGTCGGACCATCCAACTGAATTTCTTTTGACCTGGAGCATGGAGGAGTCACGAGTTGAGTTTTGTGACTTTCCATAACAGACAATCCAACAATCACACAGAGGTACAGATGTAGACAGGGTTTGACCTTATTTTTCAAGCTCTTCGTTTTCATTCGTCACACAACTATACCCTTGTCAATTTTTGTGTGAACAACTGAATGCAACATAAATGAATTAGGGAAGTCATGATACACATGACTTATTTATTCAGGCAATTTGATGAACACAAAGATGTTGCAACCTGCACTGCCGGCAGAGGCAAACAGCAGGATATGTCCATAACAATCGGGCTCTGTCCTCCAGTCCTCTCCCTTCGTCCTTCATTCATTAATCTGCTCCTCCATCTCTACTGACAGACGTGCAGTATGTACAGTAACACACTGATATGCATACTCAAGTAGAAAACCTGTTCAGACACACAAACTCCTACGGATGAGGACTGCAAAGGGTTTCTGTTTCAGGTTGGCCCTGCCAAGGAAAAGTGATGCCACTGCAACCTCGACTGGGACACTCAGAAAACACCTGCGCTACCGGTCCCACCTTAATGATCACTCATCGCAATGGGAGAACTTTAATAGGGGCCCTGGAAGGAAGGAAGGAAGCTGCCAGCTTGCTAATTTTAGGCACTCTGCATCTCAGATGAAACGCTGGAAAAGGCAGAGAGGAGGCGTGGAGAGGCGGGAAAGTTCTCTGTCTCTCACTTTCTCGACTTTCTGCATCATGTCTTTTTCTAACTATCATTACCCCCTGTATCCGCTATGAGAGAGAGTCTCATAGCTCTTTGATTCTCTGAATCATTTCTCCCTCTCTTCCTGTTCCCAGCCCTCCCCCTCTCTTCCTCTTCCCGGCTTTCTCTGTCTCTTTCTCCCCTTTTTCTGACTCTCTCTTTCATTCTCACCTCCCTCCCCTTCTGTCGGTACCTGAGTAAATAAACAGTGTTGTGTGGGATGCTAATTAGAGCAGGTTCAGGGACGTGACGAGCTCAGAGACAGATAAACAGCAAGGTGGGGAGGAGAAGAGATGAGATGGAGGGGGTGGGGGTGGAGGTAACCCACCCCAAGGGCAACACAACACAGACACAAACACGTCAGCTTAGCGGTGAAGGACAGACAAGAGTGGTTTTGGCTTTCAACCCAACTTAGGGCGGCTTTGAAGCGAAGGGCGGTAGCAGGGTAGAGGACTTTGAAGGAGCTGCCATGGAGTGAAGGGCACTAGCAGAGAAGGAGGCATGTGGTGGAGCTTCAGCCACGATGAGAGGAAGAGGGAACGTCGTGCAAACTTCCTTAATGACGTGCTCCTAGAGACCCGGTGCGAGATCAAAAGAATATGCAGATGATCCCAACAGTTCTTCTCCTGTTGAGGTGAGTCTGGGCTTCTAAAAGCAGGTCAATGTGAGGCAGCTTGTTCATATTTAACATAAGGCCTTTCTGGGAGGAATAAGCTGCTGGATATGCAGGTGAAAAGGTAATATTACAAAGGAGAGGTGAACACAAACAAGTACGCTTACACTTGGTGGTGACACTGTCAAAGCAAAAGCAGAATTTCATCAGACAGGCAGCAGGCCGACTTCGAAAACCCTCGCACTTTAATTGTATTATCTTTTAGATCACTTCTTAAATTAATCTCTACATAAGCTATGTTTTACGTGACATGGCAACAGAACTGCAGTCACAAATGCAAGAACTAAATCTGTAACCCCGGAGTTCCCATGACCTGGATCTTCAAAACCTCATGAAGCTTTGGTTCGCTACTCTTCCTTGTATTTCCACGTATTTTACAAAGTGGGACATTCTGGATGTATCTGTCTGAAACTAAACTGAATTGAAAACAAAAATTAAAAACAAAATAAAAACTAATGAAAAATACAAAACTGTTATAACTGACAGGCATTATGTTTAAGCTTTTGTGGGACAGTCAAAGGAAGAAGTAGCACCGACATTGTTACTGATTTTCTTTCAAGCTTACTTGAAAATGTTAATACACTGATGACTAACCCTAACTGGGGCCGGAACAAGCTGGTCAGTGGTCAAACATGGCCTCTAGCATTTCTAACCACCAGAGATGAAATGCAAGTAGTAGTTTAACATATCCGTGAATTTGTAGACTGCCAAAACACTAGCAGCGGTTTATAATAATACTCTCGGATAGGATTTTAGAACAGTGGAAAGTTAGCACATGGGCAATTATTTTATCTTTCCTCATGACGATTGTGAACAGTAGACTTGGAATGTGCACTTGCATGCATTTTACTGGCCAGTGCAGAGCCTTGCCAGTAGATATTGTGCTGCGGTGCGGCAAAAGTTGAGCCTGGTTTTTGCTGGAGCCCCTGCGTTGGCACCCTTGCTGCACTGTAGAACTGGCTTCATTCAACTGAATAAGGGGGCTGTGTATCTACATGCAGGACTGAAGACAATCTGAACACAACAAATATTAATAGTCACTTCATTAAACTATCAATTGATCATAGTCCCATTCTATAGGGTCCATTGCAATTTAAGTCCTCTAGATTACAGAAATGAAAAATTATGCTGCTTTGTATTCAATGTCCCCCAAATTATAAGCCAATGTCACATTCCACCCAGTCCCCCATCCCCCTAATTCCCCTAAGTGTTGACTTTAAACTGTTTTTGAAAACTGCAACACAGTAATGGTTATTTATAATAATTTGTATTTTAATTATAATTTCTGCAGATCTTCAGTACCCCGAGCTGCCGGAGTGGAGTGGCTCAGCGGCCAACAGTGCTGCGCTTGTATAAACAGCTCCCAGGGGTGACTGTGTGTTTAACTGTGAATGTGAAACAGGGCTTTACTGAAATACAGAATGAAGGCTCAATCACCTGTTCCTTTAAAGTCTTCAGAAAATCTTTCAAAGCTATTCTCATTCCTGAAGATTTGGTGGATCCTTCATGTCTGTCTGTCTGTCTGTCTGTCTGTCTGTCTCTTACTTTGTCTGGAGTCCATGAATTGAGCCTCTGCTAAGGTGTCTTTGTTGGGTTATTAAAACACTGTCTGGCAGGATCAAAGCCAGCCTTGGACTGTAATGATCACTGATGCTGCTGTTAAATTAACCAGACGTGAGTGCTGTTCACTCTAATGGGGGGTGGGGGGCTTCACTCCGCTAGCAGAGGAGGTGAGGAGAGGCGGTGGACCAGGTACGAGAGAGGAGCGGACGCCCAGGGAAAATAACGGCAGAACCTTAGCAAGAGACATTAACAGATCATGTAAACACTGTCTTCAGTTACTCAGAGATGTTTCATGATTAAAAGACATCTTATGATCCCAGATTACGGCCAGATTGGTAATGACAGGTGCGAGAGGAAACCTTGCTGTTACAAGGACTTGCATAAGCTTTTAATCTCACGTGAAGTCCAGCACAAACACTGATGAGGAGCGGGGAGAGTGGAAGGGAGACAGGATCACGATATATCTAAGAGATTGCAGAGGAGAGGGGAAATGGAGGGAAATGTGATGGCTGGATAGATGAGCTATTTTTATAATGAGGTCAGTGTGAGCTGTGGGATTTCATTCTCCTGGGAGAGACACACACATACACACACACAGGGGAACTGTGGCGATGTATCGCTCCTGCTGAGTAGGGCCACCTCTGTGCATAGGAGGAAGAGGAAGAGGAAGAGGAGGAGGGGGAGGAGACACAGAAGGGAGACGAACCCAAATGTCCCAGAGAGGATCTTGAGGATTTTGGTCATAACCTGACTGGTTGGAGCGTTCTTATTGGCTCCAGTACCAGGACACGAATACAGATGCTTAATTATTGAATAAGACAGACATTCACTCACTGCCTTTGTTTCAGAACAAACATATTCCTCCACTCCCATGACTCCAACTGTCTCTAATCCAGTCCATTTGGAAAACTTAATGACAGGAAACACTGCTACCAAGACACTTTATCTAGAACCTAATGGCATCCCCTCAAATGCAACTTCTGATTCAGCTGCATTTAAAAAAACTTTCTCTCCTGACTTTTTTGTTACTATTTATAGTATTTAGTACCTCTTATTTATTTTGTTTATGCTTCAGTTGAATATGTATGGAATATTGTTGAAGTTATGTGTTCTCGTACTTCTACACCTGTATCTTCTAAAAGCAACTCATGTCCAACCAAAAAGTGTTTACCAATTGGATGATCCTTCCTCCTCAGCTGCTCCCTCGCTCCTCCTCTTCCTGGGTGGTGCCCGGGTTGTGGTCCTGTCCCCCCCTCTCCACTCTCCCCCTGTAAAGACAAACAATAACCATTCAAATATATAAAAAGTAGAAAAAAGTTCACAACACTCAAACTCTAGAACTCTTTTATTTAACGTTAACTGTAGACATTTTTATTTCAAAATGTTTTTTAAAATGTTTTTATTCATAATTGCAAGTTTTCAAAACAGTGGCCCCCTCACCTTTAGCCTCTGTTAGCACAATTTAGCCAGTTAGCTCCTCTTAGCCACTGCAACAACAATGCCAAAGTCGGTCTAAATCTACCACCTACAGGCTGCTTCTGCACATAAACACAGTGCACACTTACAATACAATAACTAACTTCTCCTTTTATTTAGCTCAAGGCTACACATGGTGCCTTACTAGTTAGCTAACAAGCTGGGTGGGCTTGGTTTATTACTCCACATTAAAGTGAAGAGCCAGCACCACCGGCAGCAGCTACCTAATTCATTCAGTGTTACCTCAGCAGCGATGTGAATGTTAGAATGGCCTCAGATAAAGACGCACAGCTCCGTGAGAGGCAGCATTTTTCTCTTTGGTTTTACCCAAATGGATTGAGTTAGCTTGCTGGCAGAAGGTTAGGAGGGCTGAGGGCTGATGTGATTGGCTAAAAGGTGAGGGGGCGGGCACTGGTGACAACTCCACTGTCATAAAAAGTGACATGACTTTGTACTTTTTGGAAAAAGGGCCCTTTGAAATAACAATTAACAAAAGAATTGCGTTATTTTTTTTCAATAAAATAAACTATGTATAAATATGATTATTTATTCAATAATGTCTTATGATCTATTTATGATTTATTTTTATATTGATCAATTTGGGGCTCCATAAATAAGCACCCAAATGAGAGTTTTTCAATGCATTCACCAGAGGCTGAGCATTATTCCAAATTCCTGGAAGCATTTTGAAACGGGCGAAGGCTCTCTCACGTGATCTGCCTGCATCAAGGTATAAACTGTAACATGGTACAAGTACATTCAGCAGCGACAGGATTCGCACACTAACACGGCTCTGCATGGCCTGTTTCACAAACACACACGCACACCCTACAAACGCTCTCTCATGCACCCCCTTGCTCTCTCTAAATGCCTGTCGCTTTGGCCCTCCATTAAGCCAAGCGAGCGCTCGTTTAGCCAGTGTCTCTGCAGTTGGGGACGCAGGCTGCCCACTCAGTCAGATCCAGCCGTATTAAATAAATAAGGAGCGCTCTTCTGTGTAAATTATTCATTTAACACGCCTTATCCTCTTCCAACAACCTTGTTAGAGCAACTCAGGAGTGGAGAGGGGGCGAGAGCGAGGGTGGGGGGCAGAGGGGAAGAGGCAGACACCGCGGCTCATGTGCGACTCAGCAGAACCTGTGGTGCATCCCTAAGCTCTCTGGGCGTTCAGTCGTAGGGGGGCTAATTCGCCCTGACACCTCCTTTGTTTCAGGGGGGGGAAGAGCTGCATACACACAGCTACGTGTTTGCTCACATGCACACACACTTGAGCACACACCGACATTCACAAACTTAGAGAGAAAGAGCACAAGAAAGGAATTTTTAGTGCATATTCATAGAATAATCATTTTAGTTGTCTGGATAAATTATTGAGAAACGGGAGTTCAGGACACGCGATGCTGGAATGCGGGCGCTTTTTTTTGGTGCAGCCTGAACTCGAATCAGACAACACAGCAAGTCATCCACTCTAAACAAGCTGATTGTAATGAGCCGGGATGGGGCCGGAGAGGAAAATGCTTATTGTGAAGAAAACAAGTGTTCTGGAGATTAACCTGGAGGAGAAGTTAACGTTTGTATAATGTAACTGAAATCATGGGATGACTAAAAAAACATTTATTTAAGGTGAATTAGGGTGCGCAATAATTAAAATTATTCTATGGTTATTCATGCATATACGCACAACTTTTATTTAAATATGGAAGATCACACTGAGGGCAAGACCCATTATTTTCAACATTGTGAAATTACAAGTCAGAAACTAAACTGCATTCAAATAAAACCTCATTCTAATACTTGAAAACTGCAGTGAGGCAGTTTGTAGAGAAGGGTATTTAAATCTAAAAGAGAAATTAGAGCCCTGCACTCTAATGCCTCACATTACAGTGCAGGGCACGGGCAAATACCAAGCCAATGGCCAAAACACAGCTGAACCTGACGGGGAATTTCAATGGTTAATTTGCAGATAGTCCCAGGATCAACGCAGCACAGACAGAACCTGCGCTTGCGCTCGCTCTCTCTCTCTCTCTCTCTCTCTCTCTCTCTGTCTGACTCCAGTGTTCGGCCCCAGAGCGCGAGGTTGTTATGTCAACTCTGACAGTGCTCATTACCAGCCTCTACGCTCTGAATTGGAGTTAACAGGCTTTGGCCCAGGCAGAGGCCAGCTAGACCCGACCGCTACAATGGGATCAGTGTGTGTGTGTGTATGTGTGTGTATGCATGCGCTGAGAGTTAATCACAAAACGCTCTTTCATTTCTAAATCACGCCCCGAGGCCACTGTACATTACAGACGCACTGATGCACAGTGACATGTACTGCTGCTTATTTTCATTTTCACTCACAAACTCCTCCACATGAGGGCTGATCGCTGCATCCTGCTACCAACGAGCTTCTGTTTGAGTTTGCACATGTAACACTGCTACTGCGCTTTCTCAGTATATGGGAACACATAATTCTATGGTTTAAATGATAAATCACTTCTACCACCAATAACATGTCCTTCAAGGTGTTGAACATCAATCTCATCATGTAATGTTGCATGTTAGCATATGTCATGACACATTTGTGTAGAAATAATCAGCAAATTTACAAACTGACATGTTTGTACAAGCTGCAGATTCACCACATGGGTTATTTTAAAGCCACCTGCAGCAGGGGTTAGCCACCTGTGCTATAAAAAGCCGTAAATAGAGCAGTGAGCCTTATAATGCTAATTTCTCGCTGCAGATCAAGCCAGCAGCGTTGGTGGTGAAAGCCAACAAATCTGTCCACGCACTATTAAATTATTTTCCTCAAACACTTTTCCTTTTTGGATTTCGAATCCACAGCTAAACTTAAGCCTAGCAGCCACCGCTATTGCAGTTTGGCAACATATAAAGGAAAAGGCACCAGGTCAGGATGTAATGTACGATCCATCTATTTTATTTGATCATCTTAATGGGATGTATACATGTATACAATGATGCATTTACTTTATTTATCCCGCTTCATAGTGAAACCAGGAAGCTAACAGCTAACTGAGGGCCTTGATCAAACATTAAAGACAGTGTTAATAAGTCAACAATACAGATATTCATCTAATTTTAATTAAAATTTAATTTGAATATGCTGGTAGGTATACGTCCAAATTTGTTAAAATCACAGCATACAACTGTCGTCACTTTATTTGGATAGTCCACATACAGGTAGCTTAGACCCGCTTTAATTGGTTGCAAATACATTTCAGAATTTCCTTCTCCTGCTAAATGCACTTAAATTGTCTTGTTTATAAAGTAAGTTTACATTCTGAAAGAAGGAATTTTCAAAATGGCTGCTTTACCTGTTCAAGGAAATATGACATGATGCAAAAATTCTCTGCTATGAACTGGGTCGGAAAGTGGGCCCCCAGAAAAAAACAACAGTTGGAGAAACACTGGTTTATAGAATATTTGTATCATTTGTCCTTTTTTGTGGCCCCCGAGGGGCTCGAGCAATTTGCGCGAGTTTCGTTGCCACTGTATTTTCTCCTTCACACTTCACAGCCCGTTCTCGTTCCCAGGTCTTCAAATATAGACGCGAGTGGTGTTCAGTAGTTGCAATCTGAAACTTCACCACTCTATACATGCCACTAAATCCTACACGCTGGTCCTCTAATATATATAAACAAAGATCATTTGTATGAGATTGGTTTCGGTATTAGCAGTTACTTGATGCTGCAATATTACTTTCAGAAGTAAAACATAAAAAGTAACAAACAGAGAGACAGACCGGAGACAGAACGTAACTGATCGTCTCGTCTCCTGCTGCTATCAGGCGTCTCTACAGGCCTTGATGGTAAACCCCGGCCCTTGTCCGCCCCTCCTCTCAGACCAGCAACCACCTAGCAATGTCAATGATTACACTTGTGATTAAGGCTTTCCACTTCAAACGGGCCTGATGTTTACACAGGACCTGATATGGCGGATGGGATAAAGAGCAGGTAGAGCTCTGTGTTTGTGTCGGTGTGCGTGCGTGTTTGTGTGTGCGCGCTGGATGGGAGGATGAATGTCATTACGCCCAGGCTCTGTGGACACACAATCATAATGACACACCAAATGCCATTCTGCGTATTACAGCTGCTTCTTCCTCACGCTCTTACTCCTCCTCCACCTACGTAGGCCTATATAAACCACATTGTGCTGCGCTGACATATGCTGCTTTACATTCAGAATGAGTCTTCAGGCAGGAGGTGGTGGGAGGATTTTTTTCTTCAAGGCTTACCTAAGAATTTTGGTGGTTTTGCAACAGGCACTGAAAAAAAAATATTACCAAAACCATTTTAAAGTCAAATACCCGTGTCTCGTTGGACATGACGTCCAAGTCTTCAAATGTCTCACCAACTGTTTACTGACTTATGCTTCATTCTATCAGTTCTACTGTGTGTCTAAGTTTGGGCATGGTCAAAGTCCTTTATATTACCTTATAAACAAGTTGCTTTTCCCATATTTTTTCATCTCTAGGCAGAATGAAAAGGACAAAAGTGTGAGGTGTCCCACAGCTGCAGCACTGCAACCTAAATTAGCCTGGACCACATGAAAAGCTGTCGTCTCTATTCCAGGCCGGGGCGGGAAAATTACAGCCCTGCTCTCTCTACTCTAGCATTAAACCTCAATTAGCGCACAACTACACAGATGATGTCATCACTGAGGGACCCAAGAGCTCTGAAAATAAGGGGTGCATTAGCTTTACAGAGATAGACGCTCGCAAGCAAACTACCTTAAACTTCCAGGTCCTCTCTGAACGCCGCAGCAGCTGAGGAAAGTATTCCATCAGACG